TTCCTTATGCCTCTTAGTTCTGGGACTAGCCTCGTGGTATACCCATGAACTTTTTTCCATCCTAGTCTTGTGCTTGCCAAGGTACGGGCTCCAAGCTGGGACCGCATACTCTAGGATTTGTCTTACATATGTGGTATACAAGGTTCTGAAAGAATCATACACAAATTTCTGAAGGCAGGTCTGATGTTAGCCAGCCTCGCATACGCCGCCGATGTTATTATTTTTATGTAGGCCTCAGGAGACAGGTTTGGCGTGATATTAACACCTAGATCTTTCTCTCTGTCTTTTTCATGAAGGACTTCCGTGGGATTTTCCTAGCAGGCATTTATTGTTTTTTATTCTTGTATAAATATTGATTTTTTGATATATTGTATATATATATTATTAAATATGACCGAAAAAGTAAGATTAATAATTCTAACACGAATTTTCTCTATCTTTCTTATGTTTCTTTTCACTGTTGATGGTAATTCAAAGATCAATTCTCCAAAATTCATTTTTATTTCTAGTCTGACGCGACACTTGAGCGCGTTTCGTAAAACTTCGTGTTAGAACTTTCGTGTTAGAATTATTAATCTTACTTTTTCGGTCATATTTAATAATATATGTCTACAGGAAAGACTGCTACCAAAATATACTAATATATTATATATATATATATATATATATATATATATATATATATATATATATATATATATATATATTAAATATGACCGAAAGAGTCAGATTAATAATTCTAACACGAATTTTCTTAATTCTTCTTATGATTCTTTTCACTGTTGATGGTAATTGAAAAATCAATTCTCCAAAATTCATTTTTATTTCTAGTCTGACGCGACACTTGAACGCGTTTCGTAATAACTTATTACATTTTCAAAGACTTTTAGTTTACACACACACAACTATAACCTGCAAACACTAAACAGAGTTCTTACTATGCTATGATTTAAACAGCTTTCATTTTATTTTATACCTGCATTTTGGGTGAGGTGATATGTTACAACAGTTTTGGATGAGGTGAACAAAACTTTCAACACAGGACAGAACACGAAACAATGGGTATTAATTGGATAAATTGAAGGTAAGAATGGAAGTAACTGCAGTGGGCCTATTGGCCCATATATCTTGATGCAGAGTCATATTGGAGCAGAGTCTTGAAGTGGGTAGAATATACATATGCATTAATTGGCTGTTGATTGCTGGTGTTGACATACACACACATACATACACTGCAACCTAACTCCCACTGCTGCTGCTGCTGGATGATGACGTAGGCGTCCTCACTTCGTACACGTGGTCGGTTGGAGCACGGTGTCCTAGACCACTGGATAGCTCCACGCACAGAGACCAGGTGGCGCGGACACGCCGGCTTAAGGCAGCCATTACACGGTATTACCACGGCACGACGGTACACGAGACAAAGTCTTTCACTGTTCACTGCTATTTCCTCAGAATTACGAATTTAAGGTTTCTCTCATAACACTGAAACCTTCTCCAGCTCGTCTCATTGCGGTACCTTCAAGCTAAGATACGACAGACGGCGGATGTCACTACCACACGACGATAACAGCCTCACTCAGTCCAGTTGCTCTGAGATGGCATCTCATGATCACACGGCTTAGATGACAAAGTTCACACTGCTAAATCGTCGAATACACCTTTTTACGATACCGGATTCTTACGTATGGCACCTGGAAAGATAGCAAGACGATAAGTGTGACTTAAGTAACGTTGCAGGTGGTATTTCCCGGTACTTGGCCTTAGCACGAGAAAGTACGTCTTTCTCTAGCAACGCTCTTCTTAAGAATAATTATTTTGGCGCCAAGACGGCCCCGGGATACCATGCGGTACCTGTTACGGCCCTCTCGGGTCGCAACTGGGTTCTTACTCTGATGTTGTTAGAGGAAGGGTATCCGGCCCCAAGCCAGTAGTGGCTTTCAAGGGATGTGATCCGTAACGCAAGTAAATAAAAAGGGGAAGGGAAAGAAAGGCAAAAACGTAAGATTATAATTAATACCTTCACCAATAAATATATATAAGAAGATTACATGGGGGGGGGGGGTATAAACACTACACAGGGGTATTATCTACACTGTCGTCTTCTTCTGAAGACTCTGGATCTTCTCGGTGCCAAGTTCTCAGTGCTCTCGTGGCCTCACGACGAATCCTTCGAAAAGCTGAGTCTACCCCGGCCACAGGCCAGCCAAAACACAGTTCCACTGGGGGCACCGCCGTGGAGGCCGTCAACCACAAGTCCAGCAGACAGCTGGCAGGTTCCGGATCAGCAGCGCTGGTCAGGCCACTCCACGAGCGATACTAGGGTAGCGCCCTAGTCAGGAGCCTCGTGTGATACCACAGATCACTCTCCTGTCCACAATACCCCAGTGGTTAATCGTCTCCACCAGTCAGTCCCGGGTATGACAATCCTCAACTGCCGCTTCTCAGGCAGGGTAACACCACAGTGTTCATCCGGGAGGCGACTCACAGCTGCTGCAGCAAAACACTTGGTGTCGAGACGGCTGCCTTGGGTAGACTGACTCAACTTCCATTACAGCAGTCCCAGGTCGACTCTGTAATCAGACACGTCATCAGTAACAGGGACACACGAAAGCACCTCACTTACAGGCTCAGACACAAACGCCCGACGTATCCACTCCATAGATGGCGTTGTTGTCTGAGCACCACCTCACCAGAGGTCAGCAGCGGCTGTGTTGTGAGCTGAACAGGACTGGAAACTGGCCCTCGTGGCGAGTACACCTCGTCCTCACCAGGTGTCGTCGTCCATTTGGAGGGGGTTTCGGGAGCTGACCCACAGATGGCGCGGTCGTCACTGCTCCGTGCTCGGACGCTGGACTCGGGTCCGTAACAGTACCCCTTGGCATTTTGACCAATCACGGTACAGCATTCCTGAGGCCCAAGCACCTTGGCCAATGGCGTACCTGCCTCACGACGCTGCCCCCTGTCTCACGAGGTGGACACGTGATGGGGGGGTGTAGTCTACAGCCGTTAACCCCCCAAATTTCCCTCTCTACACTTGACTTGTACAAAAATTTACCTGAAATCAACTCCCTCCTGTAATTTCCTTCACAGACCGAATACAGTGATCAGAATGACATCAATGGCTAGCAAATATCACGGGCTGTTCAACGACACCCAACACGACTTTGGAAAAGTTATATACAGAAAGTTGAATCACGGTGCACATCACTGGTGCACTATGCAATTTCGTACCTCAACCAGTGCACGTGAGAGCAGGAAAAATCTGTCTCCTGACACACATGACCAACAGTTTCGCTCTCATTCTGTGAGCTGTTGTTGCTGTCCTCTGCAGTTCATTTATACATGCCTTGCTGTTATCATAACCCTGCCATGGCCTTCTACTGTTTGATAGAGGGGGGGGGGGTTGTAGATTATCAAGATCACAATCTTCTTCCCACCTGCTGTCAGAGCCCCTTGTATAGAGATTTTGCTTTAATTGGTACCCAGATTTTGCAGGTCTTCAAACTTCCATTTTTGCTTTATTAGGAGTGCTATTTCCCCCTCCCCATCTGTGTCCTTTCTTTTCTTATAACTTGGTACCAATCTGGAAAGATAGCATCCGAAATCATGTCATTTATTTTAATTTTCACTACTGTGATTATGTCAAGATCTGCCTCACTTTTTCTTTTATCTCTTCTGCTTTTTGGATACCCCATCAGTATTGGTGTACCAAACGTTGACTCTTCTTGGAAACTGGCAACAGAGTTAACCCTTTCTCTGGGGTCTGGGGGGGGCCAATGGAGTCCGGGCAGCTAGTGAGATGGAAAGAACATAATAGGTCTGAAAGTTAGGGAGGGGGTCTAAATGGTATCGGGGGTTTCAGAGATAGAGTGAGGTTGAGACTCAGAGGTTGAGGTTTGGGGGAGCTGGAGATTGGGATGGGGGGGGGGGGGAGGGGAGAATGGAGCATGGGGGGGGGGTTGAATAAGGAGAGGGGTTGTATTAATCAGGGGGAAATCAAGGGTAGGTGTGAGTTTAGGGGTAGAAGGGGAGAAGAGGGAGGTGGGGGGGCTGAGGATGGAAGGTGGGGAAGAGAAAGGGTTTTGTGGGCAGTGAAGAGGTGAGGGGGTTGCAAGGTAAGGGGGTCATATGGGAGATGAGGTGCATCTACCTGAAAATACCTGAAAAAAATTGTGTATATATATAAATGAATATATATACGTATAGATACAAAAATCAATAAATATTAATAAAAAATAGCCTTAAATAGAACAACTTGAGTGGAAGCATAGGAGGGTGTATATACCTACACAGTAGTCATTTATAGACATCCATATATGGTGAAACACATGTGAAGAACCTCTCTCACACTCACAGCTCCCTGACAAGAGAGCAAGCTTAGCTAGCTGCCAACACCCACACATCGTGTCAGCAAGGCGGACAGTCCGCCTGCTTTCTTTCGTAACTCTGACTGTATTTTCCACTTCTAAACTTTTTTTTATATACCTCTCCATCCTCTTTACTCCAGCAAAAAAAAGTGGAAGGGGCAGGGGAGTTTATGAGGGTACGAGGGGGAGGGGTGGGAACGTTGATTTATGTGTGTGTACTCACCTAGTTGTGCTTGCGGGGTGGGGTTGAGCTCTGGCTCTTTGGTCCCGCCTCTCAACTGTAAATCAACTGGTGTACAGATTCCTGAGCCTACTGAGCTCTAGCATATCTACATTTGAAATTGTGTATGGAGTCAGCCTCCACCACATCACTTCCTAGAGCATTCCATCTGTTAACTACTGACACTAAACAAATTTTTTTATACAAGAATAACTACTAAATAATGTTGTTCTTACCCTTGTTCTCCCCCTCCCTCCCTTCCCATACTGATACCTTGAAAAACGAGGATTGAGATCTCCCTCCCTCCAGACAAGTTCAAGTTCAAGTTCAAGTATGTTTATTGAGATAAGCAATAAATACATCTCAAAGGGATAGAGTAGCTTAGGCTATTTCTACCCCCCTCCCTCCAGGCACATGATGACAACCAAGGTGGCTTCCGCGGCCCTACTGCTCCTGGCCTTATGGGTGCTGACCTGCGCCTTCCTCTCCCACGCTCCCGACCTTCACCTGCACAGGTCTACCAGCACCCACGATGACGCCCACAGCTACGATGACCACCAAGCTCTCCAGACACAACTGGTGAGTAACTGGCAGCTGGCTAGTGACTGGTACACTGGCAGCTGGCTAGTGACTGGTACACTGGCAGCTGGCTAGTTTTAGTTATTTTTTTTAAATTTTAGTGAGAATGTCCGGATTTTAGGGAGACTGTACGTATTTAAGTGAGTGAGCACATACATGTACAGTATCTAAAATCTTGCAGGAGAAATTTAGTTTCCAATGGGATCTTTGGATTGGGGTGATGGGAAGGGGGGCGAGAATAGTCATGAAGACATGTTACAGTGAGTGGAGGGGGGGAGGGTTGTAAATAGAGTAGCAGAATAGCGTCACAAAGGTTGACAACAAATTCTAGTAAAACGAAAAGGATTAGTCAAAGAGGTTGACATGAAAATTTTAGTAAGACGGAAGGGTGCCGACGGAAAAATTAAAATGGCCCCATCTATCATGCTGCTATCCAGTAGTGGGGAGTAAGACGACCTCCGTGACTGCTTCCTCCAGTCATACCATATTTTTTTCGGTGAATCTCGACTGCGCACTCAGTCTTACTAAATATTTCCGATGGAGGTTTAAGTACCCTTCCGTCATCTCTATTTTCAATGACGTCATCAGACAGGCCTAATTCTCTCTCAATAGGTCCGTTTTCAATTATTACATTTAATCCCATTTTCAATGATTGTATATTTAATCGCATTTTACAAATATATTAAAAAAATTCAATATTGATTATTTCTAGTCACAATATTGAATATTAAACATGATGAAATTGCAGAAGGCGTTTAGGGACCATACAGTATCTCTTATTTATTTCCACCCATGTTAACACAGTCATTAACTGCCACTATGGAATAAACTGACAATAAACTTCGGTAGGCCTTTACATAAGAAGCAAGGAAATAGCACAATGCTCTTATCCATGTATTAGTCTATTTCTTTCCTAAAATTATAAACTTATCTATTGTATTTAATATATTCCTTATTGATTCTCCCCTTAGATTCTTCCACTTTAAGCATGTCACATATATAAAACTTCAGAAGACCCTATTAATACCTCCTTTTATACCCATTCATTCACTATTCACCTAACTATAGAATAGCTTATCTGTTCAAATTCTTTAAGTAGAGACTAATTAAAGTGTAAGATTGTTAGTACCCTCAGTTAAAGATCGTTTATTTGTACCAAATATTTTTAGTGAGTAGCCAAAGATCCTGAACATAAGAATGAATAAAAACCATCTTTCTGCTATTCATAATAATAAAACCTTTTAACTCAGTCTAACTCGAAAAGTATGGTTGTAATACACCATTTGGTTATTCAGATGTTGCTTAAACGTTTACTGGTCTGCTCAGGTGTTTATTTGCCACGTTGTGTTACAGATCTTCAACAAGTAATAATTTGTCTCATGTGTACTACAGAGAGCACTGCAGGAGACACAACAGAGAACGCTGGTGCTTCTCAATAAGATCTTGTGTGACGCCGATAATGTGCTGCCCTCTGGCGGGTTCTGCTTAGACAAGAGCCACCTCTTTGTTGGCGGGAACTACATGTGGAGTGCCAAGGTAATTGCAAATATTTGACTTTGTGGTTATCCCTTAGGTGCCAAGATTAATTACACATATACTGCTTAAGATACTAAGTGAACCATACTTAAGATTTATATATGCAAGATTAGAGGGGTAAAGGATTTTGCAGATGAGTATCAGGCCTAATCAAGCATTTACGACTTGTTTATGAAACGTTTGCATCTTTCTTCAATCATGGCAGCTGAGCCTGCAATTAATACAACAGTCTCCGTGGTGTAGTGGTAAGACACTCGCCTGGCGTTCCGCGAGCGCTATGTCATGGGTTCGTATCCTGGCCGGGGAGGATTTACTGGGCGCAATTCCTTAACTGTAGCCTCTGTTTAACGCAACAGTAAAATGTGTACTTGGATGAAAAAACGATTCTTCGCGGCAGGGGATCGTATTCCAGGGACCATAGGATTAAGGACTTGCCCGAAACGCTACGCGTACTAGTGGCTGTACAAGAATGTAACAACTCTTTTATATATCTAAAAAAAAAAAAAAAAAAAAAAAAAAAAATAACAGTTTATGAGCTCTAGAGTGCTACGAGGCTGTTAAGACAAATTAATGTTCAATGTTCATTTTCTGTTGAGTTGAAACCCTATATACACATCCAGAAAGTTGTCAAGGACTTGACAGTAGCTTACTAACCAAGTACCAGTATACTTTAGTACCGAGCTTAGTTTAAGACTGTTGAATCTTAGGGTAAACTCATTACAAGCATTCAGGAGGATCTGGGTTCTAGGCTAATGAAACAATGCAAGACCCAAGAGCTGCCAGCTGTCTTTCCCGCACTCACACAGCATATTACTTTATCATTGTCATGACTTGTCAAACTCTCGAAGATTGAAGACCTAGCAATTCATGCAATTTTACTTAACGTAACTGTCATTCAGAAAGCATTGGAGGAGGAGTACCTTCTCTCCCACAACTCAAACCTTTTTCCGTGAATGACAAATAATTAATTTCGAGTCCATATATCTCTGGGCAGCTGTGTGCGGGACTTGAAGCCCTCTTCGGGTACTCCACTGTCGCTGACCTCGGGGCGGGCCTTGGCCACTATGGTAGGTGTTTCCTTCGCATGACAGAGGGCATACTGACCCACCCCAACCTGGGGGAGGTCGAGGTCATCAACAACGCATACAAGCACCACATGCGTGAGGCCGGGCTTCTGGACGTCCCTCGGGTTATCAAGTCATGGAACGGTAAGTTTTTCTCTACCATAGATGTGGCCACACATTTACAATGCTAACCAATAAATATAAATGTTCTTCTGTTCTCCATGGACAGGGTTAGAGATCTGTTAGTCATATAGTTCAGCGATTTATAGAACAATCAACCACAGAAGGTGATTGTAGTGCTTTTAAAATGTTAATCTAACTTCATACACAAGAAATTCCTGGCAAGTTAGAACTTGTAGCCTTCCAGTCATAAGATTGTCCTCAGCTAGTGTGGTGGCTTCTATATTGGATATAAACACAATTTTAGTAATTCATAAAGTAACACTTTTATTGAATTCCCGTCTGTAAATAGGGATGCTGGACCTGCGAATGGGATAATCGAAGGGTGTCTGGGAACAACTTTATTACTTAATGGCTTTAATCCCAACCCGTCCTCTTAATAGAACGTCCCATTTTGACATATATTCTACCCAAGGCCAAAAATGTTCGTACTTGAAAATGGTAGCGGCCCGCGTAATTTACATACTGTCCCAATTTCTGTTTTGAGTCCACAGATGGGTTAGGATAAGGGCATGTTAATTCGACCGTTTCCTGACGTTGGGAAACCTTAGGAGGACGGCCTGCTAATCCAATTACTTCGACAGGGCGGTAGAGCGACGTTCTCGGTTTTTTAATAGGGAGGCTTCAATTCTTGATGGTCCAAGTAGTTGGGCATCATCCTTATCCTTTTGTAATGATTTATTGTTGTCTGATAATTACCTAACTACCTTCTTTGCCTCTAGGATGGGACGGAGCGGCAAACATCGGTGAGTTCACCAACGGGAGGATAGCGTCAGCGGACCTCTCCAGCCCCGCGACCCTCGGGGGTCCCTTCGACTGGGTGATGAGCCTGGAGGTGGGAGAACACATCCCAGAGTCCGGCGAGAAGAACTTCCTGGACAACCTGGTCAAGCACGCCTGCGTGGGTGAGTCGCCCTCCCGTTGTGTACCTACCACAAGGCTCAGGTGCTGGTGGGTCTTCTCCACACATCTTGACCTGTAAACATGATATGTGTTGCTCTTCTTTCCTCAGACATGAGCTCTGCTTTATCTCCGGTACATGAGCCTTCTCCTTGACCTACTACGACCTCTGTTACAGGAGTGGTGTTGTCGTGGGCGGTGCCGGGGCAAGGGGGACACTCCCACGTCAACTGCCGCTCCAACGAGTACGTCAGGAGGGAGATGGCCGCCAGGGGACTGGAGTCGGATAAGTTCGTTGAGGCGAGGCTGCGAGCCATTGTCGACCTCCCTCACTTCAAGAATACCATAATGGTTTTCAAGTTTCCTAGGAAGAGGTGTTAAGATCAATTTGTCTCTTACAACCAATTCCAATCAATTGACCTCTTTCGTTAACCCCTTTCCAATCCCAAGGAACCGAGGCCAGGTAAGCTGGGGATGGAAGACTAGGGCGAGGATGCAGAAAACTTAAGTAGGGAACAGGATACAAGTTGGAGGTGGTAGTTACAACTCGGTTGCCCAACCACTGTGGATTTTGAATTACAATGGTGCTATATGACGTTCTTCGTTGTACATTTGCATTTCAGGGCGTCGCCCAGGGGTTAGGATTTTATGCAGTTGGCAGTTGGCGATAGATGCTGGTTTTTGTCAGGGCTTTGTTTTTTTTTTGTCGTCGGTCTTCTAGCTTCAGAGTTCTGTCATCTGGTGTTTTCCGTTATGTTTACATCGGCGGCTTTCTTGGTCTTCTTGGTCGTTTTACTTCTGGTAGATATGGCAGTGTTATTAGTCAAGGTCGTGGGTGTGGCGTCCAGTAGGAAGTCTGCAGGTCTGAAGTTCCACTTGTGTCTGGAGGGGGATGGTGCTCCGGCTGAGATTTCTTCATCTAACGAATCGGAAGAGTCGAAAGCAGAGGTGTTGGAGGTGGTGGTCCTTGGAAGTTGAGTGGTGGCAGAACCTGCAGTTGAAAGAGGCGCTGCGGCCAGCTGTGCAGCTACAGGACTGGTGGGTGGAGCTGCAGGGGATGTCATCGTATGTGAAGGCGTTGGTTCCAGCGCTGCTTCCTCCGCAGCGGCTGCTGGAGCGGGTATGGCTGCAGTGGACCGTAGATCTGTGAGTGCGGTAGTGCTCACAGTGATGTCTGGGTCAGGGGCCTGGGTAGCCAACGTGGCTCGGGCACGGTGAAGGTTGGGAAGTCATTTGCAGCCTGGAGTATGTACACGATCCTCACATATTCTCGGTAGTTGGGTCCAGCATTCTTGTTTACCACTATGGTAAGGGCATAAAACACAAATAACATACAAAGAGGAGAAAATGTTTGAATTCACTTAAACAAAAGCAATATCTGTAAGGTTAGGTTAAGGGTTATATACATTGCACAAATATGTCCAACACAATTAACTAAATAAATAAACTACATCTGAAAGGTTAGGTTTAGGACAAAGAATAGGAACAAATTATATCTAACGAATAAACACACAAAGATCTGATAGAGGTTTGGTCAAATGACAAAATATATACAATACACACAATAAACACAATAAATACAACTTTAGAGACTTGAGGAAATTTAAGTAAAAATGTTCAAAGTGTTTAAAACACACCTCTAAGCAATATCTTTTGAAAATTCTTAAACACACCATTATTAATAAATATCCATTGAAATGAACAAACACCTTAAATGATGAGTGTTTGTTACAGACGCCATTTATTTATTAAATTATGAGCAAAGTTTGTTACAGTGAGAGATGATTTCCTTGTCAAGTATAACTTTCTATATAATATTCTAAACTAAAATTACTCTTTGAAACATCATGTCTCAAAGTTTACAAGGAAATCCAGTGCACAAGGAAATCCTAAAGCGTATCCTTTTTATATAAATATGCATTAAAAAGTACAATTGTTAATTAAAATTATCTAGGAACGTATTAATGCTGTGTAAAAAAGTCTGAAAGATTTTTTAATGCACGAAGATGTCTTAGAGAATATCCCTGATGGCTCTGAGTGTATCTTTCTTACATAAAGAAGGCATGGAGAGTGTCCTTTAATCCATGAAGGCATCTTGGAGAATATGCTTGATTTCTCTGAGAGTCTCCTTTGATGCAGAACGTTATCTTGGAGGTGAACAAATCCACAAGAGCCGTGACGAGGGTGGTGGATTTGTTCATTTGATGCATCACGCTATTGGGATTTCTGTGTTAGTATCTTGGAGGTGTTTTGGAGAATATCATTGATGGCTCGAAGAGTATGCTTTAATGCCTAATGATGTCTCAAAGAGTAATTTTAGTTTAGAATATTATATAGAAGTTATACTTGACAATTTTAATTTATTACTGCATGAAACGTAGTTTTGTTTAAGAACAGTGTTAGTAAAAGATATTAAGTTTGTAAAGATAAATGCATTTACAGTTTTGAAAATAAGTATATAAATGAGTAACATTTTGAAAATAACACCCCCTCCCCGCTCAGCTCGTTGTCGCCGTCTGGGGGCTTAGTGGGCGGCTGCCGGAGTGTGATGCTCCTTGGGACAGTCCTCTGTCCTTTTCTAGCCTTGTGCTCCTGCTGCCGTCCTCTCCAATTCTGCTGGGCATCTTTTCCTTTTCCTTCTGTTTCGTTTTTCTCCCCCCTCTTCTCCTATCTGCTTGCCGTTTCCTGCCGACCTTTTGCTCGTTCTGGTTCTTCCCTTGGACTTCTACTTTGACGCCCGGGTGCTTGAGGAGGCATACTCTTGCACCCGTAGAACTGCGGTACCCGACGTCGAGAGCGAGGGGAACCTTTTATTGTCAATCCCCACTTCGTCACTGAACCCGATCTCGACGGACTGTCGGTTTCTTAAGGTGGCGTTTGTGGGGCGTATACTCACGACGCACCCCTAGGAGGCCCCGACAAGATCGGCGATAGCTTCTTGTTGGGTGTCCTGCCTCTAATTGTGGCTCCATGGTGGGTGTGGGGGCACATTCGTGAGTGAATTCGTAATTTCGTCAAGATGATAACCCCTGTTTCGGCTGTTTCTGGCTTACCTTTTCAGGCTCGTGGGGTGGGCGACCAAGCCCCCGAGTCGGTCCGTATTGGAAGACCGGGCTCTGTAGCCTCCGCTGCATTGGGCCCCGACCTTGCTCCTCCTTTGGCCTCTCTGACTCCTTCCCCTGGCTCCCCTCCCTCCTCTGTGGTTGGGTCGAGCCCCAAGCCCCCAGTGGTGACTACCTCGTCCCCTGGCGCGGCTCCTTCTCTAGTTGTTACTACTGCGCCTTTTAACCCCTCTCTCTCTGGGGGTTCTCACCGCCGTTCTCGTCACGGCCGCCCTCGCTCGATTCCTTCCAGTTCTGCTACCTATCAAGCCTTGTTTGGTCCCGCTTCGTGGGCCAAATATTTTGATCTCCTCCCTCTTGATTCTGCGCCTCCTGACGATTTCTCCCTTCATCGACATCTCATTGATTCCGTGGATGCCTCCATTACTTTTAACCCCACTCGTCTCGGTACGCGTGTCGTTGCTGCTCCTTCTCAGGATGCTGCTTCCCGCTTGGCTGCCTTATCCTGCCTTGGCGAGACCCCCGTTCGGGTCTCGAAGAACGTCCAGTTGAATGCCAGTGTTGGCACTATTTTGCTCCCGCCCCATGTTGCGACCGGTGTTCGGGACCTACGCGACTGCCACGACGATATTCGACATATCCTCGCTGCCCAGGGCCATTCTATTCTCCAGGTGGACACGTTTACTCGTCCCCCTCGTGGTAGTCGCCGTCAGCCCCTCCGGGTTGTGAAGATTACCTTTGATGGTAGGACCCTTCCACCCTCTGTCATTCTTGCTGGTGCCAGGTGCTCTGTCCAGGAGTACATTCCTTCTCCTCGGCTCTGCAACAAGTGCTGGAGGTTTGGGCATGGTGCCCTCCGCTGCTCCGGGACTGTCTCTCTCTGTCCTTTGTGTGGTGGCGAAGGTCACTCTAAGTCGGAGTGCGCTTCTCCCCAGGCTCGTTGCCTCAACTGCGGTGAGGCCCATCCTACCTTCTCCCGTGCGTGTGTCCATTACAAGCTTGAGGCAGCCGTCCTCAACTTGAAGCACCGGGAGCGTTTATCTTTTCCTGAGGCGAGGCGCCAGGTTCGCCGGCTCCCGCCTTATGCTAATATCTCTTATGCTCGCGTGTTGCGCTCTTCCTCTCCTCGTCCTTCCCGCCTTCCTCAGACTCACAACCGTTTCCAGGCCTTGGACCCTGATGCGCCCACTGCCCCCTCCTCTGTCCCTTTGGGTTCTCTCCCGAAGGATCCTCCTCCTGGTCCTCTGTCTGGGGTTCCCCTTCCTTCTACCCGGTCTGTCGTGTCTTCTGTGTCTCCTTCCTCGTCCCCCTCCGATCCTCCTTCCCATCCTCTTCCTCCGTCTATCGGCTCTCCCCGCCGCCTGTCGGTGCGGGCGGATGTCCATCGCTCTCCTAACGGCCGTCGTGTGTGCTCTCGTTCGGCTTCTCCTGTTGAGACACTGGAATCCGTTGCCCGGTACGTAGTTGCTGGGACACCGGTCTCTTTAAGTCAGAAGCGTAAGCCTGGCTCCTCTCCTTCCTCTTCCCCGGCGGGTAAGAAGGCTTCGCTTTCTTCCTCAGCTCCTCCTTCTGGCTCTGTTGCTCCTTCCACTCCCGTTTCAGTGCTTGCGCCCCCTGTTCCTGCTATGGAGGTTTCTTTGGCCCCTGCTTCCCTTTCGGTTGCTGCTCTTGCTGGGGTGCGCTCCTCTCTTTCTACTCCCCCTCTTCCTGCTGCTGTCCTTGACTGCTCCTCTCCGTTGTCTCCTCCTCCTCCTCTCTCCTCCTCCTCCTCCTCCTCCGGACCCTGCCCGCCCACCTCTGATCTGTTCTCCCGTTTCCTTCCCTCCGTCTTTGCTCAGTTTACCCATGCCCCCTAACCCTGACTTTGCTGACCCTGATCCCGACCCTGATATTCTTTAACGTGCTCTGTTGGTCTTTCGCCTTTGTTTCTTCCTTGTTCTCTGTTTTTGTCCTTTCTCTTCTCGTCGTTGTCCATTCTTCAATGGAACGTTCGAGGTTATTACGCCAATTTCCTCGAACTCCAACTTCTGGTTTCGCGGTTTTCGCCCCTTTGTGTCTGTCTCCAGGAGCCGATGCTTGGTGCTCGTCCTGGTCGTTTTCGTGGCTATTCCTTTCTCTCCCCCCCCCCCAGCCATTGCTGGGGCTTCTAATTCTTCTGCTCTCTTGATTCGGGCTGATGTTCCCTTTGTTCCTTTACTTTTTCCTTCGCCTCTCCATTGTTCTGCTGCTCGTATCTTTGTGGGGAAATGGTACACAGTTTGTTCCATTTATCTCCCCCCGGGTGTCCCGCTCTCTCTTCCTGATTTGAAACACCTCCTAGACTCCTTGCCGGAGCCTGTGCTCCTGCTGGGTGACTTCAATTGTCGTCATTCTCTTTGGGGTGACGTTCTGACGAATACCCGGGGTCGCCTCCTTGAGCCGTTTCTCCTCTCTTCTTCCCTGTCTCTTCTGAATTCTGGTGAGCCCACTCATTTGGACTCTCGAACTCGCACCCTTTCTTGTCTTGATCTTTCTCTCTGTTCTTCTTCTCTTTACTTAGATTTCACATGGCAGGTTCTTGATGACCTCCATGGAAGTGATCATTTCCCCATCCTTGTTTCCTTTTTCTCTTTTCGCCCTTCCCTCTCTTTCCCTAGGTGGCAGTTTGCTAAGGCGGACTGGACCCTGTTTTCCCTCAGTGCTACTCTCTCTGACCTCTCCCTTCTGCCCCTCTCTCGCGCTCTCCTCCTTTTTCATGACACTGTCTTCGACGCTGCCCTCCGCTCTATTCCTCGCTCTTCCTCTCGGGGTCCACGGAAGTGCGTTCCCTGGTGGAATGCGGACTGTGCTCGGGCTGTCCGCTGTAAGCGTGCAGCCTGGAAGAAGCACCGCCGTAGGCAGACGACCGATTCTTTTCTTTTCTTTCGGAAAGCGAGTGCGGTGGCCCGTAGGGCCATCCGTACGGCTAAACGTGAATGTTGGGCATCTTATGTCTCGACAATTACGTCCGAAACCCCTCTGGCCCAGATCTGGAAGCGTATCCGCAAGATAGCGGGTAAGTTCGTTCCCGATGTTTCACCGGTCCTTCACCTCCATGATACTCTTGTGGCGGACCCGTTGCAGGTCGCTTCCGAACTGGGTTCCCACTTTTCTTCTGTTAGCTCTGGTCTTCATCTTCCCCAATCTTTCCTTCTTCGTAAACCTGTCCTTGAGTCTCGTCCTTTAGATTTCTGCACTCATCTTCAGCTTCCCTATAATGATCCCTTCTCTCTCTCTGAACTTCGTTCTGCCCTGGCCCTCTGCGGTTCTACGGCGGCGGGCTCCGATGGTATTCATTATGAGATGCTTCGCCATCTCCCTCCGAGCACGTCTCAGTATTTACTGAGTCTGTATAATCGGATCTGGGAGTCGTCGTCAGTCCCTGAGGACTGGCTCGATGCCGTTGTCCTCCCTGTTCGCAAACCAGGGTCTCTGGGTACTTCCCCTAAGGACTTTCGCCCTATTGCTCTCACAAGTTGTGTCTGCAAACTCTTTGAACGTATGGTTAACGTTCGTCTGATGTGGTTCCTGGAACACCATCACCTCCTCTCCCCTTCTCAATTTGGTTTCCGCAAGTGCCGCAGCACGACAGATGTCCTGGTGAACTTGGAGGTCTATATACGTACTGCTTTTGCTGCGAAGACCTCCGTTGTTGCCGTCCTTTTTGACCTAGAAAAGGCTTACGACACCACTTGGCGTTATCATATCCTATCTCAACTTCATTCTTTTGGCCTTCGTGGTCATCTCCCTCTCTTTCTCCGCAGCTTCCTCTCTCGTCGTTCCTTTCGGGTGCGCCTTGGTACCGCTCTCTCTCCCCCTTTTCAGCAATACGAAGGTGTGCCCCAGGGTAGTGTTCTGAGCACTACTCTTTTTCTGGTTGCCCTCAATGGTCTTCTTTCCTCTCTTCCTTCTGGTGTCTTCTCCGCTCTCTATGTCGACGATCTTACCCTTTGTTGTCAGGGTGATGATTCGCCTCTCCTTCAACGCCGGCTTCAACTTGCGATTGATGCCGTGTCGTCTTGGGCCACAGGTCATGGCTTCAAGTTCTCTACTTCTAAGACTTGTGCCATGACTTTTACGCGGAAACGGGTTGTTCTTCGTCCCTCTTTGTCACTTTATGGTCATCCCCTTGAATACGAAGATTCCGCGAAGCTTTTGGGGTTATTCCTTGACACTCGTTTGTCTTGGTCTCCCCATATCTCTTACCTCCGTGTTGAGTGCTCTAAGTCCCTTACCCTCCTTCGGGTCTTGTCCCATACTTCTTGGGGGGCAGATAGGCGCACTCTCCTTGCTTTACATTCCTCTCTCGTCCTGTCTAAGCTCGATTATGGTTGCCCTGCTTACTCGTCTGCTTCTCCTTCTACTCTTCGCCGTCTTGATGCTTTGCACCATACTGGGTTGCGCCTCAGTTCTGGTGCCTTTCGTTCGACTCCCGTCCTTAGCTT